CAATGCCACTATCAAAAGTTTGTGCTACCTCTTTACTCGGGATGTCCAAGTGAGTTTTCACCTCTTCAGTTTCTTAGCCTTCTACATTTAATATATAGTATTATATATTATTATTATTTAATACTGTATATAATATTTTTGACCAAATAAATTTTCAAACAAGACATTTGCATTTTTTTCACATTTTTCATTACTGATATTTTCTTGACTTAAACTTTGTTTAGATGTAGATTTCACTTGCTGCTTCTGTTTTCTTACTCTAAGTTCTATCAAATTTGAGAAATTATATCTGATTTCAGTAAGTGACATATTTGATAATCACAACTTTAATCTTTGAGTATTACTTGTTATCTTTGTATAAGTTTTCAGGTCTTATTTATTAAAGATATCTTCAACTTGTTGTTGATAAAGCATTATATACCAGATTTGATATTTGACTTGTCAAATATTTTGGAAAACTGGTTTAAAGATTTTTGTTTTTTCTAAATAAACTGTTAAATTCATAATTGAATTTAGAATTATGTAATATATCTGGCAAGCTAAAGTTATTAACTCTATTATATTTAAAATTCAACTCTAGAAATTTCATATAGCACAATCCTCATAATAAGGGTACTGATAAACAAGATGTTTTTAAAACTATATGAATAAAACTTAGTGCAAATTTTCATCTATATTTTCTATTTAAATGTCAAATACTTAATAGCAAGTGCAATTAGCAATTTAGCTATTTTTGGTAAAGCTCTAACACTTTTTGAATACCAAGTTCAAAATCTAAATTAAGTTTATTAAATTGATGATCTTCTAATAAATTAATACTTTCTAATAATTCTTTTTCAAAAAATAAATAAAAAATTTTTAACAATATTTTGCAATTTTAATATTATATAAGCAATGAAATTTGGTATTTAGTAGACATATCTGTTAGGAGAAAGGTTAATTAGTACAGAATTTGATATTGCAATTTGTAATTCTAAATTATATTCTGTAAGAAACTTGGCCATTAGATAATAAAAATTTTTACCAAAGCAAACTAATAGTTTAATTTAGATATTCACAAATAGGTCATGAAGCCAATTTTGCAATAATTTCTACTTTTTAATATATGATTTTGATGTGTTATTCTAAGCCTTAAGACAAGATAAAAACTATTTAGTAAACTTTATATGAGTGTTTCTTCATTCTAAATATTGCTTTGCATAGATTAGTTCATAAAACCATTGTAATCTAATAGGTTGCTAATACTTTGTCAGTTTGTATCTTAATTATTTTTTATAAAAATTTATAAATATAATTTAATCATATATCTATTGGATTGTCTTTATTACTTTTGTTATAGCTATCATAAAGGTCTCAAACTAAATACAAAAGATTTGCTGAAAATGCTTTTTATGAAAATCTACTGAGATTTAGTAATTTTTCAAATGTAACTTCTTTAAAGTTATTTATTATGATATGTGCAATATGAATTTTGCATAAAATTTAAAACAACTTACTAATACTTATTTCATTAAATAAAATAATTACACCTTCAAATTTACTACTTATATAATTAGTATTGTCTGAAACACAAATTAAACATTGCTGCAGATCTATATTAAAATAATTTAAAATACTATATATTATTTATACTACTGATTTTCCTGTACAATTTACTAGATCTTTTATTTTTAATACTTGAAAATTAGGTTTATTATTAGTTGAGTTTCAAAATATTAAACACAATATGAATATCTTTTGCTAGCTGCAAGTTGACTTATCTATCATTATTCTAATAAAAAAGAAATTCAAAATGCCACCTTGATTTAATATTTGATTTGTGTGAAATTTACTAATTTTTTTATTCTATTTAATAACAAATTAATATATAATTAATAATGATGAACTTTCTTTAGCTAAAAAGCCCAAGATTAGTTGTGTTGTCTAAATGATATTTTAAAATAACATCAGACTAATTTGTAATACTTATATAATTATATTAATAAATTGAATCTTATATTTGTATTTGATTTCATAATTAATAATTGAATACTTAATTTTAAGCTTTGTGAATCTATAATTGAAGACTTATGAGCAATAACACATATACTTGAAGTATGTTAATTTTGGTTATGTTTATATTGTGATAATATTTCTATTAATTGTCTAATTTTGTGACTTTTTTTAAAATTCAAATTTTCTAGTTAATTTATTTTTTTTTGCAATGTTTTATTAATTTGAATTAATAAATTCAGATCTTGTTCTGATTTGTAAAATGAAAATTTATAAAATTTAAAACTTTCTTTTGTAAAAAAGATGAAATTAAGTTATTTTTATTAGGTTCTTTAGAATATCACATAATATTAAATAAATTAATTGCAGATTTTAATTCATTGTCAGATAGTTGTTCAATTATATTAATTAATTTTTAATAATAAGTAATTTGATTTTTTCTATCATTATTTGTTTTAATGATATTTTGATAAATTGATCTTAATTTATTATTATCTGTTTGTGGTAAACTTTTTTTTTTTTTTTTTTTTAAATATTAAGATGAGTATTTGTGATTCAGAATTTTATTAATAGTATATTTGGCTAATAGTTGTATTATAACTACAAAGAGCAATTATAGAGAGAGTGTACAACTAGTCACTTATACAACTTTAGTCATTGTCTAATTTAAGTAGTTTGCTTGAAAGTTTTACACTAGCTGTCATACCTGAAACCTACTTGTAGATTCTCTATTTAACCACTCTGTTTTCGTATCCATCCATCTACCTTTGACTACCAACAATCCTGACTAATGTTAATAAAAATATACTATGATCATTAAGTTTTTAAAGCAGTTCACTCATATAGAGGATCTTTAACCTTGTACTAAACCTTTCAGAATCTTCTGTATCTTATTCTTACAGCTAACCTAATATCATTATGGCTAAGACCAATATTGGTGATCAGTACATACCATTAAACTGCTATGTTCTTGTAGAGTTCATTCCAATCCTGGTACTAACTTCACAATATATCCTTATTACTTTAGTATTTAATTCAAGTTACACCAAGCTGCTATTTCAGATAGTTCAAAAAGGTAGAGTGAGATCATACTTCTGGTTTACATATTTGTCAACATGTACTCTTTTCTTCTAAAACTTGAAAATTCCAGTAGCCTGGTTGGTTCATTTGGTTCTTTCTTAAAAAGACTGCCACATTTGTCTAGTTTCACAAGTTTTAACTCTGTTTCATAAATCTAGTCTTTACAGTAGTACCATCAAAAGTTTGGATTATCTCTCTATTCGGGTTTTCCAAGTGGGCTTCTGTCTTCCTATCTGGTTTCTGTAATTTATACAACCTAAGAACTTATCTTGGGTTTACACCACCTGATACCAGTTTGTATTTCCTTGCTAAACCTTCCAGTCATGCTGATATAATACAGGTTACAAGTATCTTATTCCAACCAATCACAGAAGACAGTTAACTATAACACAGAAAGAATTGCAAATTTTCACCATTACTGTGATTTGAACTCTAGATCTGCCACTTGGTAATTGACAACCTATTCACTTCACTAAGTCATCACACCCTATTTGTGTTAAAATTTAATTGATATTATAAATATATTTTTCATACTGAGTAGTCTTTTATTTACTTGTTGAAGCTTAATATGCATAATATGATTGAAGATTCTTGACATCTTTACTGATATATATATATATATTAAAATTAATTTTTAAAATAACTTCAACTCACTATAAAAAAATTAAATTACCTTGAAATTTTTATAATTTGTTTATAAAGTATTAAGAAATAAAATTACACTCAAAGAACTTTAATTGATATATAAAATTTGAAGCTTTGACTAATAGGATATACCAAATTTTAACAAAAAAATTAAAAAAAATAATATTTAATATGTAAATTAAAACTTTATTAAAAACTTTCACAAAAATCGAATGTAATTATTTTTAAATAATCCTTACAAATAGTTACCAGTTAAAAAAAATTTAGAAAGACAAGTGCGATATTTGCATAAAACTTTTCAAAGTTTGTGTTTTTTTTATATAATTCAAATTATAAAATAAATTATTTAATTTTCTGTAATAAAAATCCTAATCATAGTAAAATGATTAACATATCTGACATAGGTTTGATTACTTAGTCCGTTTATCACCCTAATATGATGTGGTTAAGGTTGGTGCTGGTCATTAGTTGTGTCAAGAAGCTGTGTCGGTAGTTATTTCCCAATTTTTAAACACAATTTAATTTTCTAGGCAATTTTGTCTAGAATACGATTAAAAAAAAAAAATAAATAGCATGCCGAGTACATTTAACATTATTACTGGCATGGTATGACCTGGCCCCATGGTGGCATGACCAATGATGGCGTGTCAATCACCCTAAGTTTAGGATAATCGAAAGATCAAACTATTTATATAAGCCAATAAGCCCCTAAATTGGTCACATGATTTATCTCCGCTTTAGACTTTCCCTAAATTTGGGCATAAAAGTAACTCTAACTGCACACGATCTCTAAATTTCGTAGTAACCTTCACCGTTTGAGTCACCTTGAACTCTTTTTTAGAAGATCCTGATCGACACAAAAAAAAATAAAAAATAAAATTAACGCACATAAAACTTCCGGAGAAGTGCACACGGAGAATGATTGGATGTTGATAAGATAAGATCGTATGACGGGTAGTAAGTTGAACGATAGCGATCGCACAAATGTAAATAAATTGCCTGATTGGTGGCTGGCGTCGTGTTTATAAAAATTTCCCATCCTCCCATTTTTTCGTTCTATTATTTAATACGATAAATTGTCGCAATGCTTCACCCCGTTGGCCTTCTAGTTAGCGACTTTGATGAAACTATAACTCAACACGACTCTATTTGCGAAATAGCAAAACTTGCATACGAGAAGAGAGCAAGACAAGGAGAATGCCCGTTACTAAACGAAAAGCTCGCGCCAGACAACAACGATGTTGGTGAATGTCCTCCTCCTTGGTCATATTTTGTAGAAAAATATTTTAGAGACCGTAAGGAGCACATTAAATTCTGGAACGAAACACATCCAGAAAGAACACTTCAAGATCACTACGAAATGTTGGAATCCTTAAGAGAAGTCGAAAAGAAATCATTGAATCGTGTCGAAAAATATCAATGCTTAAGTGGAATGCATTGTGATGAACTGTTTGAAACTGGGGAGAGAATACCGAAGCGGGATGGGGCAACAGAAGTTTTGAAAAGTTTTCTATTAGAATGTGTGAATAGTAACATTTCTCGATATTTTTATATCCTTTCTACTAATTGGTCGCGTGATATGCTATTGGGAAGTTTGAAGGACCTTGTAGGAATCAAAAGAGAACATATTTTATCAAATGACCTTGTTTTTGATGGTACTGATTGTACGACTGGAAAAGTACAACGTAATGTACTCTCAGCACTTGACAAGCTATCAATCTTTAGTAAACTGAAAGTTCCACGAGGAACAATTTCAGCATACATTGGAGATTCTGATACAGATTTACCGTGTCTACGTAAGTTACATAATATTTATATATATATGTGTGTATTTATAAGTATGCTTTATATATATTTATTTAATTTATTTTAAGTGGAGGCAAACGTAGGAATCATAATGGGGAACAATAGTACACTATCAAAATATTGCACAAAATTCGGGATCGAAATCGTTGAAGGGTTAGCTGGAAAGATTGATACGAATGATTTGATTACTACAAATAAGCGAAATTCTAAACTTTTTCGAGTTCAAAGCTGGAGGGAGATTTCAGACAGTGGGCTATTGGATTGGTAATTTTTATAGTGGAAAATTTTATTTGTATATTAGTACACAGTATAGATATAACAATTATAAGAACACTTATTCAGGCTTGTTATTCTTGTAAATATTTGATTTATGTATCTATTAAAGAACAAATAATTATTTATGTGATTGTATTTTCCTTTTATATGTTTTATGTTTTGAAATTACTGGAGTTTTTGATAATTATTGTGGGTTTGAAGTTAAAAGATGTAAAGCTCGTATTCAAATAAAAATAAAACGAGAGTTTTGATGTTGAGTAGCTGATGTGTCCGAGCGGTCTAAGGAGCCAGACTTAAGTTCTGGTATGCGTAAGCATGCGTGGGTTCGAACCCCACCGTCAGCAATCTGTTTTCAATATTTTTTTTTTCTTTAACGCCCTAACCTCGGAAAGGCAGTTTTAGAAATAGGTGACACGAAATATCGTATTAACTTTAATGATGTATATATTATCAAACAGGAAGATCGGAAGTCACATGGCCTTGTGCCTCGTTTCATTATGGCCATTGCTCTACATATTATGTAATAATGATAAATGTGCGCCCGGAAAATGAATACCAGGTTGGTGTGCCACGACAGCTAGATGGTATTAGTGTAATTTGATAAAGTAATAGAATAATACGTACATAATGAGCGAATTTCAAATTTATAATTTTAGCTGTAACAATAATATACGTATAAAAGAATAGATCCCAAATGTATTACATTGTTTTACGTATTGTGTTTTTGTTACTTTTTCATGTTTTCATTGGCTAATCTTTATTTGTTGCACTAATGAAAACCGAACCTTAGCTCTTGTTCCACTTAGGAATAGTTCTATTTGAGAAAACTGATTTTCGGATTTAACATTTCACACAAAGTACAGCTTATTGGTCCTTGAAAATGCGTCTGAATGATAATAAGTGATATTTATGCCCGAATGAAATTCTGATGTGACAATATAAAAAAATACAAAGGCAGGAAAGTGGTGTTTCATTTCAGAAAATGAAGAATTCCGGTTTTTTTTTTGTTTTGTGGCACTCAAATAAGAATTAACAGTTAATAGCTTGCCCATTAACAACAATAAAGAATCGCATGTTCATAGACTCTTTAAAGTATTTAACATTAGCTTAAAACCGGCTTGTTTAAGTGGAACAAGTAATGATAAATATAGAATTATATACCGTGTATTACCGATTAAAAGCAACCGAATAAATGTAATCTCTTCACTTTAGCCCAAAAAAGTCACCAGGAATTTTTTTGAGGTCTCGATTTGAAAATACAAGTCCTATTAAAACCTGTATACTCTTTTATTAACTAAGATTTTTTTTACAATCAGTCGATCAAATTAGTTGACTAATCGAATAAAGCAGCCAAATTGTTGCAAAAAAATGTGAATTTTTCGAGCCAAAGTGAAGGGATTGCTTATTTTCGAGTCCAATTTTATTAGTAGAACATAACAACCTTAGTCAAATTTTTCGGCTCCAAAATCCAGAAGGTTGCTTCTAATTGATAACATACGATATATATGTTTGTTACATATGTGAACAATTTTGATTGGTTAGATTAGTTAGATTAGTTATAATTGATGAGTTGACTAACCATATAAAATACTGATGTACGTTGTGTAATTTACTCAAAACTTTATTATGATGATAACCTGTTTTAATCATCTAAGTAAAGTTTGTAAAACATTAGACGGAATATATAATCATATATTTTTTTTAAATAGCTAAGCCTAAAATTAATATTTCAGATCTTGGACATTTTCAAAAAGCTGTGAACAGTCAAAACGTACATCATTGCCCTTAATAATAGACCCCTTTATTATACCTAGATCCAAACGTACATCTTTGCCCCTTAAATACTAGTAGACCCATCTATTATACCTAGATCTAAACCAGGATTAAAAATTTAGTGAAATGTAAAAGACCGGGGCGGGGGTTTCTTGATTAATAATTATATTTAGAAAGAAGAAATCCACCCATTACTGTACCCTCCTCCAAGCAATATACCTCTCCGAGTATAATTCAAGTTTTTTTTTTAACCGGTGGAATGTAACATACCTGGGTCGCCTATATGGCCATTTACGGTAATTGAATTAAGTCAATTCTTAGTCAGTCGATATTAACAGTTTTTGTCGACTGACTAATTGACTAAAAAATTTTGACTGATTTCAATCCTTACTCTGGAGCCACTCCGGGTTGAGCCCAATCTAAGTTGGAGTGGGTTTAAAAAATGAAAAAATGTCTATAAATTTGAAGCAACCTGGAGTATAATCTGGTGCAAGTTTAATTAGTTGAAGAGTGGATCAACTAACCTAACAACCCTACTCTTGCAGTAGAGAGGTAACACACTATATTCTCGAGAATTGTTCCCAAACACAATACAAATCTTTTTCTTTTATCTCAATTAGAGATAATCTTAAAGAGGGCATTGTCTAAATAAAAATGTATCATAAATGAAAAAGAAGAGACTTTAGGAACCAAAAAAAAAAAAGTACTTTCATTAATGGGGGATGATGGTCGTTTGCAACGTTTAAGAACCGAAAAGCAATTAAAATATAGGAAACAAGTGAATACTGAAGAAAATATAAAGAAAGTAAGGAAAAAAAAACAGATCTGGTTAAATCATTAAAAATCACATCGTGAAAATTTATTCAAAAATATGTCTAAACGCGTGAGGGAAAATCGTTGTCGATTATATATAAAGAACTACACTATTTGCATATCGAATAGGATCCTTGTCATTTACCGACAATCAATTCACTGACATCTTGTTTCACCGATAATCAATTCACCAACAATTATTTCACCAACAAGTTTTTTTAAAGATTGCGCTAACCTTAACTCTAGTTCTAAACCTGATCTTAACGACAATGACTAGAATTACTTTGTCGGTGAAATGAACTTATCTGTGAATTCTTGCGATTGCAAAATTCTGTAATCCATATCGCTGTTTATTTGTTATGCGTGACTTGTGGATTGCCAACAATCATTTCTAGCTCCTGGCCAAATTCATGGCCAACCTTATAATCATTCGCAAAATCACAATTCACTATTTGAATAAGATTAATAACCATGGGGTTACATCATTTTGCAAAGCGTAATACTTGTCGGTGAACTAAGTTGTCGGTAAAATGAACGGAACCCATCGAATTTGTGACAACGCTTAGTTTATACTAGTGCCTCGATCCTTAATCCGACTAATTTGGATAGATCCGATAATTCGGATATCCCTATTCGCTAATTTTGGATAGATCCGAAAGTCATAATCCAAGGAAAACTTTGTATGATTGGTTGATTTGAGTCAATTAATTAGGTCGTAAATAATCTTCGCTAACGGTTTTTTTTTCTTCCTTAATAAAGCCGATTATTCTGGACATTCAGATAAGTCAGATAGTATTTCACAAGAACAGCGGTCATTGCTTGAATCAACAATACTTCTTGAGAACATAACGATTCATTGGTAAAAATCAACTGAGAAAACCATTACTCAAGTGAATCAGGATTGCTATCCAAACACAATAAAGAGGATCTGAATTTAATCCGAATAGCTTTTGAAAAATAGGATTGAAGTTCTAGTTTATACCAAGATTGAATAAAAAAAAATTTTCCTTTCTAGCGCAAAAAAAGTAGTTCTATATGAGTTTCCGATATTTCTTTCAAAAAAAGCATGATTTTTCTGGAAATCTTATTGGTGTTGATTATTCAGACCCGATTTGGCGGTCCTCCGGGTATCAATTGCCCGAGTAACTTATTTATACAGTTTATAGAGTATTTTTTGAAAATGTAACGTTTCACTCATTTTACTAACAAACTCAAATCTTTCGCTTCGTAAAAAGTAAATACGTATCCACTATGCAAAATAATACCAAAAATAATCCTGAAATAATCCCAAAACAGAGGTACCTTACTATTTATTATTATTGTTAGCTATATATATGTCGGAATATCAAAACCAATTTATTAAAAAGTCGATTTAAGGTACTTAAGTTGTGATCTTAAAGAATAATAACTTTATATATATTGTTTAATTGATCATGTTAATAATAATGATCTCAATATTGCACTTATATTAATTGAATATTATATATACGTACTGCAGGTGTTAATTAGTTAAATGGGTAGGCAGAAATGTATGCATTATGTAATTAATCATATATAAAAGTAGTAATATAATGTTACTAGTAAAGAAGTGATGACTGAAAAATAGAATAAAATTTGCTTCTTAATTAAAATACAATAAATAAATAGAAAGTTTCGCTAACTTACTCGCATATTGAATTTATTTGATTGATTTGATTGGTCAATAGTCACGTTTAAATAGACACAAATCAGCCAATTAGACGAATGTCTTCCTATGAATCTTTAGATTACATTCCATAAATGTACTCCTAATGGAGATACAGGTTTTACGAGCTCAAACTTGTTTAAGCCAAGTACAACCTGTAGCAATGAAAATCAGATTGTAATTATATAATAGGTGCGTTAGGTGCGATAAATAGCATAGATAAGCCAGAATGTTGGAATTTAGAAATTGGCGTTGATGCACTGCAATGACACTCTTTCCATGTGTTGAAACAATAATCAGATGAATTACTTTAACGTTAAGGTCGTGTATCACACACGTGACTATTTGATCTGCATAATTCATTGCACTGCCCTGGCAGTTAGATTTATTATACGTATGAAAATTGAATATATATGTATGTGTGTATATATATATATATATATATAGGGTGACGATTCTTTTAGCAACTCTTTAGCACTGGTTCATTTTGCTCATTAATTTGGCCCAAAGTCTTCAATTAAGCAGCTTTAACGATAAAACGATAAATAGAAAAAAAAAAATTCTGACAACTGCATTTTTTTTGTAACTATTTGAAACGAATAATACAAGAACTTTTATATTCACCATGGAGACAGTAAACGAAAGAAACGGTAGTGATTCCACAAGTCGACTTCCTTTATCCGCATATTCTGTAAAAACTTCTACAACGGCTTCGACAACCTTAACAACTTCAAAGACAAATTTTCAAGAACAACCACCAGCTCCTTCTTTGCAACAGCAGTTGCCACCGTTGCAAAAACAAATAAGACAAGACCCACAACCATTTGGTTTTGATAAAAATGATGTATCCACTTACACTTATCAAACAGATAGGTCGGAGGTTACGGTTCTTGATATCAAAGCTTTAGTAGAAAGCGCCTTGGAACAAGCAAAATTTGATCCAGAAGTTGTTTATGCCGCTGCTCAATTAGTGCTGTTAGCTAACCAGGATCGAAATAACGGGTACTACATCGACTCCAATTCAACGGGTATCTTGGATGTTACAGCGAATCGTCCCAGTGCAATGTCTTTGTCAAATTTACTCTTACCAGATGAGGCTGGTTCATCATCGAAAGCTACGGTATTTGTTCAATTATTTTAACTTTATACTTTTTTATGTCCATTATTTCATTACTAATTTAATTTTTTTTTTTTTACCCTTAAAAGTGAGAATGTGTTATTTTATATGGCATTGTTCAGTTTTAAAGATTGTTCATTTTTATCATAACGCATTGGTCTAAACTATTTTATTATTTAATGGACGAAATTATTGCACATCTGCTTTGTAACGGTAATTATAAAGATTTTAAAAATATATATATAGTATATAAATATATTTATATACATCTGTCCGCATATAAATTCTTTTGCAATTCGTTCATACTAGTTTACTTAAGTATTAACTTTTAAAATATTATTTTAATTGATAAATAATGCGGATTAATTATGAGAAATGTATATACTTGGTGAATAGTATTTGGTGTTTTTTTCCTTAAAACCAATTCATTTATAAATTTGATAAAAATTTCCGTTGTGTTTGCTGTTAAACTAATTCAATGGAATAAATAAAAAAATCTTTTGTTTCTTAGTTATCTTTCATCAAACATCATTGCTACACAAACTATTATTATGGCTACTATTATGACAGGTTTCCAAAACCCATCATGGATTAATGTTGTACTATGTTTTATTTACGTTAATTCGTATCGGTAACAGTAAAAAAGAATGCAGAATTCTTTTTATCGAATCATCGTCGATCAGTGTTACATTACCCAAGCCGAGATCTACAATGTGTTTAACGGTGTTAACCGACTTGGTCGACTAAATTAGTCGAACTTTGAATGTGAGGTAAAAACTTCTTCTGTATGATGTCATTAACCAATCAAAATTCATCCTTTAATATAATCTGTATATATATATCCAATGTGTTTTTCATGCAACGATCTAAATTCACATTACCTACATACTTATCACTATTGCTATGTCTCAACAAAGTCTACCCAATCATGTATATATCTCGTCGAAAATTCAGGACAAACCAGCACCTGACTGGACACGTTTTGTTTGCGTTAGTGATACACACAACAAAGTTAGCCTTGAGACATATCATGTTCCTGAAGGAGATGTTCTGCGTATGTTTTTTCATTTTAATCACAAATTAATTTTTTAAACATTAATTAATTCTTTAATCAATATATTAATTCTTAAAGTTCATTCGGGAGATTTGACCGAAGTTGGTAAATTGGATCAAATAAAAACTGCTGTTAACTGGATTAAAAGTCTTCCGCATAAGTAAATTATATTTTTTAAATGTAAACTTTTATTTAAAAAGAAACTAACAAGTTTCTCTCTAGACACAAAATTGTTATTGCTGGAAATCATGATTCAACGTAAATTGCTGTGAATTTCTTTCTGCCTTGTAGTTTTGTCTTGTTCGCATCAAGATTTAACACCTGATTTTTAAGCCTAGACAAACCTTTTTATGAAGAATATTGGAGTAAATTTCATCATTATAAGGAGAATTCGGATGATGCTATTGACATGATAAGAAATGCGGGTCATGGTATTGTGTATTTGGAAGATGAGTCTTTTACGATTCCCGAAAGCGGGTATCAGGTATATGGGAGCCCATATACTCCAAGGTTTTATGACTGGGCTTTCAACGGAGATCGTGGACCATTCTTAAAGGGTAAGAATGAACACAAATGTTTACACAAAAACTTCATTGCCTAAATATAAAAAAAAAGATTGCTTTTAATCCTTTCAAGAAAAATGGTCAAAGATACCACCTGATACGCATATCCTTATGACGCATGGACCACCGTTTGGTATTTTGGATGCCACTGTAACCAAAGAAAATGTTGGATGTGTAGATCTTTTACAGCGAATTCAAGAAATTAAACCTTTAATTCACGTGTTTGGTCATATTCATGAAGGTTATGGTGTCTTTGAAAAGAAATGGGAAACAGAAAATAATGAAGATACAAAGTCGACTATTTTTATTAATGCATCATCAGTAACTCGAGCGTATAAACCCCAAAACAAAGCGATCGTATTTGATTTACCTCCACTAAATTGATTTTTACTCATTGCAAAATGATAATATGTACATATTTGATTAAGAAAACTCTGAGTCAAATGTTACACTAATTTAAAATTTTTTTATTATACTAATTATAATGTTTTTAAAAAGCTTGCATATTTTTTTTACTGCATATGCATAGAATGCTCACAGAATGCTTAAATAAATATGAGAGTTCTTACATCATTAAACAAGATATTTCCTGTTTCTTGGCATATATACTTAACAATAAATAACATTGATACATACAATCGAGTGACTCTTAGTATATGTAGAATTTTCGATATAAAAAAATTTTTACAACAAAAAGTTTTCCTATGCACGAATCTCTTATGTTTTGCACAATATTCATAAACAATACATTCATATCGAACCGGCTTTTACTATAATAAACCAAATTGGGTGGAATCTATTTTTTTTTTTGTTTATTTGAACCAAAATTTTTTTAGCCCTTAATTATTGATTTAGATAACGATAACAATTGATCTTAAAAATATCGTTGTCACATCTAGTGCCTGAAATCGGATTGTGAAGTCTGCACAACTAAAAATCTGAGGTGCATGTGCAAATTCCATATAAATTTTATATCGATCGATATATACAACTAAATCTTTATAAGTAGTTCGTCGTGACTATGCTCTATTTTAAAGAGTAATCCACTATATTTTATGGGAATTACTATTCGCACCATGGATTTTTGCTATTCGCACCATGGTAACTAACATTATGAAAATTCACTTACCCTAACTCTAACTAATTCTGGTCATGATCTACATACCATGATACGAATAGCAAAAATCTATGGTGCGAATAGCAGTTCTTTATTTTACATAAATTAAAAATCTATCTTTACTACTAAACAATTTTAAAAGTTTATTAAAACTAATAGACCAAAAAAAAACATAAATAAAACTAGAAATATATATTATATAGATTTTTAATATATAATAATCTTCATTTAAATAATTTACAAATTTTACTAATCTGATTTAATAGATTACTGTCAACTATCTATATAATGGAAATCTGAGCTGAAAAAAAATCTTCATTATATGGCTTATTTATTTATTAATCTGTTATAACTATTATAATTTATTTATATATTAAAAATTCAGTTCTTGGCAATTTGTTCATTAAATCAGTTTAAAGAAGTCCATTATGTAGATAGTTGACAGTAATATATTTCAAACTTATTAATTAGGCTACACCAAATTATTTGCTTAATATAATATATCTAAGTTTGCTAATAAATATATACTAGTCTTAGGGCACATTCTTATGTTTGTATTACAGCTATTATAAAGCAAATAATTATATTATTTTGTTAAAAAAGATTATGATTTGTTTTTTTTTAATGTTAAGACAAGTACTTGTAATCTAGGAGTTTATTGGTAATCTGTTAGCATATAATTATTATATACAACAGCTATAAAGGCAATTATGAAAAGAGTGTACAACTAGTCACTTGTACAACTTTAGTCATTGTCTATTTTAAGTAGTTCATTTGAAGGTTCTATACTAGTTGCTATATCTAGAATCTGTTTGTAGGTTCTCTATTTAAACACTTTAGTTTCTATATCCATCTTGCTCTACCAACTATAGATTAACTACAAATATGTTATAGTTATTAAGTTATATTTAACTTTGTACTAAGTTCACTAAAGCTTTCTGTATCTTATATTTATAGTTAACCTAGTATCATTTTGGCTTAAATTATTACTTGCAGTCAGGATTAATCATTAAACTACTATACTTTTGTAAAGTTCACTAAAATTCTAATATCTTTCTTTTTTACCTTTTACTTCTTATTTTTGAATCTATAAGACTTCACAAACTACCAATCTAGATGGCTTAATATAGTATTCTAAGATTCTTTTTCTTCAGTAGTTTCTAGCAGCCTAGTTGATATATGTTTCTTTACACATGTTATTATCTAATTCATTCTAATTATCTTTTTTTTAAGTCTTCTGATGGTCTAATAGTATTATTGAAAATTCATGTTACTTTTTTACTTAGAATTTTTAAGTATGTTTCTGTGCTTTAGTTTCTTAGTATTATATACCTAATAATCTTATTATAGGTTTGTATCAAAGTCTTATGCAACATTGGTTATTAATATTCCTCTATATACATATAACATTACACTTCATATAAATATCCTAAAATTCTATTTAAGATGATGTTTCTAAAATTACAGATTATCTTTTTTGTCTAACTGATTAACAAGATATAGTTATAATAATACAGATATAATTTCTAAATTTTATTATCTATGGGATTTAAACACTAGATCTATCACTTAAGAGTTGACAATCTGTTTACTTCACTAAGTTACTATACCTCTAAAATTATAATTTATATAATATAATATAATTAAAAAAAAACATAAGAATTTGCTTAAAAACTTATCTTTAATATATTTACAAAATGTTTTTTTTTGCTTTCGCTAAGACTATAATTATCGATGACTACTGCTTTTATTGTATTTTTAATTATAATTACATAACTTGTACAAGTTAAGTATACAACTAGTCATTCATACAACTTTTGGTTGTCTAATTTAAGTAGTCCATCTGTACAGCAAGTTCTACACTAGCTATCATATCTGCAATCTACTAGGAGATTACTTATTTTAAACCTTCTGATCCCTATACTATACTAACAGATAGTGTACAAGTTTTCATATACCTATATTAGGTGCCATCTAACCTAATCTTGGTCTTTTTTTCTGTTTATCTGTTAAGCTGTTATACATTTTAAAGTATGTTATTTGACTGTAAGACTAAAGGATGTTCTTTTGCTAACTAACTATCTATATTTAATTTTTATTAACAGGGCTCACCTTTGCAGAGTTTACTCAGACCTCAGCACTGACTTCACAGTATATCTCTAATACTTATAATATACTCTTGTTTTTGACTTTAGATTTCTAATTCAGATAGTCTGAAAGGACTATGACCTGTCTTTAATACTCTAAGGTCTGCTCTTTAAGATCTTTTTTTTCCAGTTTGAGACTTCTAGCAGTTTGGTTAGTAGTACTTCTCACTCAAGGTTCTTGTTTGCCTGATTCTTTTTATATTGGTATCTGTTTCCTAGGTCTAGTCTTTATAGTGATACTGTTGAATATTTGTGCTACCTCTTTACTCAGATCTTCTTACATAGGCTCTGGCTTCCAAGTTTATAGTTTTATATAACCATAAGGACTTATCTTGAGTTTGCACTACCTGATGCTGGTTTGCATTTCTCTGTATAACTCTAATATTGCATAGATGCTCTATGACCTCCAGTCATGCTAGTGCAACTATGTTACAGGTATCTTATTTTAACTAATTAACAGAATGCTGTTGTTGTAATACTGTCTATATATTATATAGGTAATTATCCAAATTTTTATTATTGGTGGGTTCTGAACTTACTATTTACTACTTGAAAGATTGACAACTTATCTACTTTACTAAGTCATTACATCCTTACAAAATGTTTTTTTAAATAAGTTTATTATATAATTATTTAAATTTTAACTTTAATCTAGACAATAACCTTTATATAAATAAATTTAAAGAATTTTTTAAGATAAAATTTTTTATAACTATACTAAAATAGTTAATAGCTTTTTTACAAAAAAACTTTTTTTATAATTTTATTTGATTAAATTAACAGATTAAATATAATAAAATCTTTAAAACTAAAAATACAATATAAAAAAATTTTAAATATTATACTAAATATAATTTTGAAATTATATTAATTTTTTTTTAAATCTACCTATAATTCTTATTTCTAACTCAATCACTTCAGAAATTTTTATTTCAAGTAAAACTATCAACAAACTCATATCTATCTCTTAACTTAATTACTCTTACTAACAACTATCCTTTTATACAGATGGCTCAGTAATCGACATCAGTACTGATCAATACACAATAGGTATTGGTTGGATCCAAGTTGATAATAATAATCAAACTATTAACTCTTTTTTCACTAAAATACAATTCTGGCCCTCATCATATAAAGCTGAGCTTTTTTCAATTATTATTGCAATTTCAACAGCTCTATGCAATTCAGTAGTCAATATCTTTACTGACTCTCAATCAGTAATTTCCAAATTTAACAACCTTCAACTTTATTTAAATCATTCTAATAAGCTATTTAAATTCAATTCATGGCCTATTTGGCATACTCTTTCCAATATTATCAAATCATACAAATTACAAATTATCTTCCACAAAGTGCAAGCTCATTCAGATAATAAT